ATCAAAATACAAATGATATAAAGTTTAAATGGTGAGACGTTGAACTACTTCGAAAAAAATTATTAAAAAAAACTTGAAAAATGTTTTTATTATAATAAAAAATATTAAGATTTTTAATTTACTAAGTTATAAATAATAATAAACATATAAAAGCTATGGAAAACCTTTAACAGAAAACCTCATAACATTGTGGACGCTAAGTAACTGTTTTTACATTTCCATTGTGAATAAAGAAATAAAGATAAAACATAAAATATATACTTATAACTTTAAAGAAGAAAAGCGTGGAGGGCATCATTGGTGATCATGATAAAGTGAACACGACTCATCAATTTCTATCATTTTGAAAATTTGAACTTTACTCTTTCTTTATATGCGAATGCGAATGCGAATGCGAATGCGAATGCGAATGCGTATGCGTATGCGTATGCGTATGCGAATGCGTATGCGTATGCGTATGCGTATGCGAATGCGTATGCGTATGCGTATATATATATATATATACATGTAGGGGAACGATCAAATGAAAACTACTCAATTTGTAAAAACCGTAAAAACCTCATTCCATCAATCATAATTTTTCATTTTGTTTATTTTTTTGTAATTATAAGAGGTTGATTAATCATTTTTATTGTGGAGGATGTTAATCATGGATATTATCATCTTCATTATTTTAATTTTAGAGAATTACATGAAACAGTTTCATTAAAATTTCATTAAATAGTATATAAAACAATTTCATAACCATATATGAAACAACTTCATCAAAAAAATGTATTATATGATACAATTTCACAAGATTAAACAATTTCATGAAAAAATTTCATAAGATTACGACGGATGAGAGTAGTTTTTACGGTTTTTACAAATTGAAGTAGTTTTTCATTTGATCGTTCCTCTATATACGTATGTATATATATATATATACATATACATGAAATAACAACTTATTTTCATAAAATTTCTTACTATAACATTCTACTTTTGTTTTTCTTTATTACAACAATGTACTTTCAAATTATTTTTTATTAAGACATTGTACTTTAAAAACTATCCATAATAGCAATGAGTAACCTGTTACCTTTTAAACCGGTTAATCCTTTGACTTTTTTGCTTGTGTGACTTTAATGAGGTGATGTGGATGCCACATCATTTTGTTGACTTAACTAAAATTAAAATAAAAATCTATTTCAAATTATTATTAGTGATTTTCATTTTTCATTGTTATGATCTGAAAAAACATTTAATTTTTTTCTTTTTCTTATTAAGTTGCATTCAAATTAATAAAAGTATAATATTTATTAAATAAATATGAAACATTATTTCGAGATATATTTTGTTTGTAAAAAAGGTAATTTTTCCTATTTTATGTTGTTCAAATAAATACATATCTTTTAAAGCTTTCTTTAAAATATTAACGAAATAAATTGTTATCTACAATTTTTTAATATTGTTATATTAATAAATAATTCAAAAAGTCTAATTAATTTAATATATTTATAC